CACTGGCCCTAGAATTGAGCCCTGAGGAAACAGCTGGTGACCGGTCGCCAGTCAGATGCAGCCCCATTCACTACAACCCTTTGAGCCCTGCCCTCCAGCCAGTTCTTCACCCAGTGCACCATGAATCTGCTCATCCCACAGTTGGACAACTTGTCCAGATGCTGTGAGGGACAGTATCAAAACTGGACAGTATCAAAAGCCTTACTAAAACCCAGAAAAACTACATGCACTGCCTTCCCTTCATCCACCGGGTGGGTGACCTTATCACAGAAAGATATGAAATCAGTTAAACGCGACTTTCCTGTTCGGAACCCATGTTGACTGTGCCTGATGATTGCATTATTCTTCAAATGGCTTTCAATAGTATCCAGTATAATCTTCTCTGTAATTTTTCCAGGAACTGAGGTTAGACTAACAGGTCTGTAGTTCCCCGGGTCTTCCCTCACACCTTTTTTGTAAACTGGAATAACACTGGATAGCTTCCAGCCAGCAGGGACCCCCACAGACTCCCAAGACCTTTAGTAGATGACCAAGAGGGGTCCTGCCATAACATCCGCTAGCTCCTTCAGAACTCTGGGATGACTCCCATCAGGCCCCATGGACTCGTGAACATTCAGCTGATACAGCTGGTCCCTTACAATTTCAGTGTCCACAAATGGAAAGTCACTGTTCCCACACTCGTGGTCCTCTGACTCAGGGGACCGGGCAGCCCAAGGTCTGTCAGTATTATTAAAGACTGAGACAAAAACGCATTGAATGCCTCTGCTTTTTCTTCATCCCTATTAGCCAGATGACCATCTTCAACAAGTATCGGTCCAATGTTTCCTTTGGACCTCCTCTTGCTATTAATGTACTTTAAAAAGCCCTTCTTCTTATCTGAAACAATACTGGCCAGTTTCAACTCTAATTGAGCTTTGGCCTTTCGTGTCTTCTCCCTGCATAAACAAACCACAGCTCTGTACTTTTCCTGTGAAGCCTGACCTCGCTTCCAGAGATCATACAGTTCCTTTTAACTCTTGAGCTTCACGAGGAGTTCCCTGTTCAGCCAAGCTGGTCTTCTGCCCTGCTTGCCTGACGTACAACACAGTGGAATTGCCTGCTCCTGTGCTTCTAAAAGGTGGTTCTTAAAGACTGACCAGCACTCGTGGACTTCTAAGTCCTCAAAAGCAGATTGCCAGGGTACTCTGCTAAATAGCTCCCTGAATAGGTTAAAGTTTGCTCTCCTGAAGTCCAGGGTAGCAACTCTGCTGTCCTTTTTTCTGATTACATTCAACCACGATCACTGTGGCCAAGGCAGCCACCTACCATCACATCCCCCAGGAGTTCTTCTCTATTCACAAATAGCAAGTCTAGGAGGGCATCTTTCCTAGTTGGCTCACTGAATACCTGTGGCAAGAAGTTACCTCCTACAAACTTCAGGAATTTCAAAGACCTGCTTGTCAACATGTGTGTTGCGTTAAAGTAGCCTGAAAATCAGGGACCTTAATTGTGAAGGGTTAATCTGACCTTTCATGGGTTATGCACACTCCTCCCAGTCTGTAAACTCCTGGAAAAAACCAAATACCCTACACACATGCTGACTTGCTTTTAATCTAGGTTACATGGCATTCATGAATTAACAAAGAGCTCTCAGATAACAGTAATCACACTTCACAGGAGCCAAGCAGTTAAACTCACATGCTTCAAATTCCTTCAATACTGGCCAGAAAGCACATTGAGAACCTGTACATCTTGGGAATTTTTCTCCCTTTTCTTTTGACCAGGTGACAAGAATGCTTTCCATAATAGCTGTTTCACTGAAGAATATTGCCAGTGTTAGGGCCAGAAAGTAAAAATAAAAACAACAATAATTAAAACAAACAAAGAAAAGAAAAGCAGACCTCTTTCACTGGATCCTGGAAAAGTAGAACCAGATGCAAACTGGAACCAGGATGCAAATTACCATTTTTTGGGTAAGATTAATTTTTAGCTGAATTCCCAAACCAGCTTGTTGTGCATTAGATAAGCCCCAGGCTCAGCCGAAAGGAAGGGGTAGGAAACCATGGCTGAGAAAAAAGAGGAAGGACAGGACTACTAGAAGCCAGATTCACACCGGTTTAGACCACACTCAAATAGTTCTGCACTTGCAGAACTACTTTGTGCACATCTCTGCTGGTACAGCCTACTGCCACTGGCAGTTTTACTCGTTTTCCTATAATGGAAGCAATAATCATTTTAAATCAGTGCAGGTAATATGCAGAAACAAAGAAAACTTCTTTTGAAACATTTTTGGAGATTAATTAATCACTTCAACAGTGTGTTGCATTTCAGTAACAGAAACGCCAAGTGATGTCAAACTATGTTTGACCTGCTCCTTGTGTCAAGAAACATAAAAAGTCGCAACCAGAGGTGCAGCATGAAGGAGGAATGTAGTTCCTCTGATACTTAAGACAAAATAATCTACTTAAATATTCCAATTCCTCACAAGCTTGGAAAGAGGGAGGGCAAGACCACAGCAAGCTAGGCTGAGAAAGGCAACTGCCTTTGAAAGGCACTCAGGTTCAGTAGTTGTTGTTAACACTTAAGTATGACCTCCCTACTGTACTCTACTGAAAATCTATTTACTTGCTTAGCTGACAGGACAGTTATTACCTCTTTCATGATTCTATAGTAATATTTTAGTTATAAGGCATTTTAAGAGGAGAAAACATTTCCTCCATATTTGCGCATGTGGCTTCAGGATTTTTTTTTTTTTTTTTTTTTAATATCAAGTGATAGATTTAATTTGGCATGTAAGTTTATATTCCTATTTGGATAAACCTGATGCTCAAGATTTCATATTTTACATTGGACAAAGTGACCAAAATGGGAATGCACCTTAATGCAATTTCCTACGGTCTGTGAGAAAAAAAAAGTTCTTTGAAATTGTTTCATAACAACTGAAAGTACACTAGTAACAACTATTATCAGTTATCACAGTACAGAATATCAAATAAAACCAAAATTAAATCCCCTTTGTCATTCTTTTGTACGGTCTAATAAACAAACATGATGATACCCTGTGTCCTAGTCATAAGAAATCACTGTTGTCCACAAGAAAACAGGAGAAGACTCTTTGCAACACTGAACGAATCAAGAGGGGTTGAAAAATTGTAACTCTGAGTAAGTTTCATGATCTAATAATAGACTCTTAACTGACGTGTTTTACGAGCATGGATTTTCCAATATCACAAACATACTAGTAAAAATATTACGCAAATAATTATGTTTATTTAATGCTTTTTTTTTTCTTTTTTTCTTTTAAATCAGTGCCCAAAAGCAAAGTCCTCTTGAATCTTTTTCTGGCCTAATTACCTGGAAAAAGAGAGTCACGCAAAATTAATTAAAGGGATACAAAATACTAATGTGCACATTTTTCACCTGCCAAGGACCAAATGTGGGACAGATGCCCAAAACAAGCGACACACAAAAAATCAGCTCACAAAATTAAATCTCACGGGACTACCTTCTGTGTTATAAATTACAATGTCTATAACCTTGATTTTATAGCTCAGTATTTCTGTATCCAGTAATTCCCAAGACAATTAGGGGAAACAGGAGCAGTTCGAGATTTAGCATGAGAACAGCTCCGCTTCTCGAGCAGGGCCACCTAAAACGCTGGGGCAGCCACCCCCGGCTCTGCCACATGGACACCCAGGTCGCAACCCCAACTTGCCGGAGAGCCAGCCCCTCCGTAACCCGCAGCCGAGAGCGGCGCTTTGGCAGACGTCACCCCCACCCGCAGCCAGCAGCAGCTCACATCACCTGGGGCTAACAGGGAAACACAGACCCGAAACAGTCAGCTATCAGCTCCCACCATCACAAATAACCACACTCCTAACCTGTTTCAAAAACTGGTCAAGGTCCAGCCTAAAACCATTTGGGTTTTTTCCCCCCTGATACTTCTACGGGGATCTATTTCTATTATTTTGACGATTAATAAAACTCTGAATTCTTAATTACTAAATTACTTGTCATTTACTTGCATCTTGACTTACTAAAATTCAAGCATCAATGCTTGCCTTTAGCTGAAGTATGAATATAGCACAGTCTTGCTGTCTTAACTTTGCCAGTCTGCTAAACCAGGCTCTTCCAGTCTGAAGATAAGGTAATGGGGAGAAAGCAGGGTCTAATTGCCTTTCTCTGTGCCTGGTCCAGCTTCAGTTCATCTTTCCTGACTGCTGGTGACCAGGTTTGTATGCAGCACTCTAGACATAAAACAGCCTTTACTGCACTTCTCCTAACATGTAACACATTTTTCATGGCTGCATCATACACACATGATCATCCTTTAACCAGTAAATAAATTTACAGGTGGCTTTCCTCCTCTGTTTCCAAAAAAATCACCTACAACTTTACAGCATACGTTTTTGTTGGGAGTCAAAAGATACAGGGACTTGCTACTTATGCTACTGAATTTCATCCCCACCATTTCCCACCACATCTTTCTAGGCACTGGGAATACCTCCCATCTTTGTATAATGAGTAACCTATCATTAGCAGCTCACCTACTGTGGCAATTTAGAAGTCCTGTGCCTCTCATTCAATATCCACAAAAAGTTTGCCTATTTGCAAATACTGACCCACTTCATCACTCATTAGGCCTGTTCTGCTTTTGTAGGGGTTGTTAACAACTTGTTACTAAACCATGCAATGCAATAGTTAAGTTGCAGGGGTACATTTTCCAATTCAACAGCTACAGCCAGGCCGAAAGGGCCATTCAAAATATAAATAAGACACACACTTTACCAAAGACATGCCAAAACCCAAAATCAATGACTTGTCTAGCTTCATGCAGACTTTTGAGACTCTTTTCCTTAGAGCACGCCACACAGCGTGCTACACACCTACACGGTCGCGTAAGTACTGGTGCAATGCTAACTGGGTTCAGAGCACCTTCGTACTCGTGCTCCTCTACCAACACGTCCACTTCGCACTTCCAGTTCATCATCTCTGCCACTAAGGAAGAAGAAGTGAGGCCACATGCGCATTGTGAAATTTCCTCTGAAAGCAGGTCCCCTTTTTCTCTCAGGATTTTTCTCTCAGGTTCTCTCAGGATGTTTATGCAGCATTTCAGTCTCAGGTGGTGCAAATGCAAGTTCAGCATAACCAGAGCTGCTCTCGTTGATTCCAGGAGTATTTTGGGATTCTGCAACCCCTCATCTGGCCATCTCACTGAAGTCAACAGAAGCTTTGCCCTTGCAACAGGGCAGAAAAATGGAACCAACCAGCCATTAAGGAATTTACCACCTATTTAAAAGTTCCGTAGTATTTTGCTTTCTGTTTCCTGTGCATCTCATCATGGAGGGGTACGACCATCATTTGGTCGTAGGTAATGCTTTTCACATTTCCTCTGTACTAACAGTACAGAATGGGGAAGAAGAAAAACCCACAGAGTAGCCATATCGCAATACTTAGAAGAGAAAAACAAATTCAAGGGAACACAATGTAAATCACACCCGAGCTGTGGTAGTGAAAGTGTCTTAACCATGTCTCATGTAATGTTGGTTTAGAAAACAAAACAGAGGCCAAATAAATACAGAAACAAAAAACCAAAAAACTACCACTCCTGCCTATTTATACAGAGGCTGACAAATGCTGCTGAAGACAGTCTGGATTCATGCAATCTGCCAGGCACACCAGGGAACACTAATTCATGTCAGCAGCTCTTTGCACCATCCTGTAGTGCTACACCCCAGCGCTGGCTTACTGCCACGACAGGGTTGCCTCTTCCAAACTCCACAGCCAAGAGGAAAAAAACAAAACCAAAACCAACAACAGCCCCGCCCCAACTCCTCTATTGGGTTGCTTTTACCATCCTAGACTGTAAAGAACATCACTTGTTCTTGCTGTAAAAGGATTATAATTCTGCCTACAAGCATGGCTGGAAAAGGGTAAGGATGCACAGAGTAAGCACAATCAGACCAGTGCTCAGTGAGTGTTACGCACCTTCTCACATCAAGGGCTGAATTCAGCTAAGATTTTTCCACATAGTGCCTTTTCAAGCACCTGCAGGTGCATAGCAGCACAAGCTTTGCTTCCTGACAGCTGTAATCATTTGACTAGGTTTCATTCCCATTCTTGACAAGCTGCTTTCTGACTACATACGTTGCATCTGAGTGGCCAAGACCAAACCACTTGGCTCCTCTCAAGGTCAGAGATCCTCACCCTTTCTTTATCTGGGTGCCGTTAATGGTAAGGACAGCCACAGCTTCTAGTTCTCTGCTAGCAGCTTACGTGTGCGGGCAGTGAGACAGCTCTGCAACTTCCTTCCCCTTCCTATTACATACACTCACCTTTTAGTCTAGGACCTTCACGCACCTCGGTCCCCTTGCTCAGCAGTCCATTCCCAGCCCCTCTGCAGGTGATTTTGGGTGTCCTGTTTCTCCCGTCCTTGGCCCTTCCTGCCACAAACCCCTTCAGTCCTGTCCAAAACCTACCTGAAGAACATTGCTCCTTGGCCCCTGTTCCTCCAACCCGAACCACTGAGGTTCTCGTGGTGAAAAGCATGGTAGACCAGTGCCAGAAACACGTTACTACCAGCCCGTTTAGGAGACCTGCCTTAACTGCTTCTGTGGATCAGGTAAGCACCCACGGGAGAAGAGGCAGAGGTTCTGTGTCTGTGTTGCACGAGCTCATTGAAGCGGTCCATGCACCATGAACAGTACCTATTCCACGGCTTGGGAGCCTCTACTTGTCCAAGTCTGGGCATTTACATGCCCTGTTCCTGTCACCTTTGAGGCAGCAGCTGCCAACAAACAGAGAATCGGGGTGTGGAGAGAAGCAAAGGCAAAAACCAGAGGCATCAAACAGACTATCCTGACACATAAGCTCCTCGCACAAGAAGCGGCACAGGGAGGGATACAAAATTCCTGACATTCTCAGCTGGCAAAGAGCGAATGGAAAAATGTTATGCATGAAAGCCACTATCAGATACCATTTAGCACTTTATAACTTTGAGTAGTTTTCCCTATGTGATTGAAGGCTGAGATTCCAGTTCTCAGGATTTGCAAGCTGAATATATCAGGAAAGATCTATCTGACTCCGACCTACAGGTATTTTTTACTATTTAAATTGAAGAAGATATATACATAAGAATGAGCATTTTTTTCAAATATGTAAGAATTCTTAAAGTGAAGAGGGAAAAATTCCAACATTTTAGGATAATCTTTTGAAGATATTTTAAATAAGCAGAAAACAAACTTTTGCAACATCACAGAAATTACCTGTGCTCACCCCTTCCAAAGCTTACAGTCATTAAACAAAGGATGTAGAAGACACTACACCGAAACCGTGGCTCCACTGTCAAGCTACACACGCTACATGTTTGTCGAAGCTGAAGAAAAAACACATCCACATGCATCTCTTAAATGATTTACCATGCTTTACGCTCACTCTAAAAATAGTAATAACAATATACTCGCTTACTAGCTCTAATTCCGCTTGTGCTCTCACAAATGCACATCCTACCAAACCACCTGCTGACCTCTGCAGCACGCAAGCAGTAGCTCACTGCAGGGAGGTCCTTACACCACATACAAGGAACCACCTCCGCACCGACTGAGCTGTGGGCTACCATCACAGTCACCTATATAAAACTGGAGAGCAAAATTCAGGCCACGTCTTGACTGCAGAAGTAATTCAAGTCATTGATAGTTGGTGTTAACTCCTCTCAGGATAGCCTGGTTTCAGAGGAAGCATCCCTAAGCTCAAGTGATTAGGTTGCTCAGCTTAGGGGAAACATCCCAGTCAAGACCGCAGCAAGGACAAGTCCTCCTCTTAAGGAGCATTTTCACCCCCTACCTTGTGACACTGTCTCTGAATCACCAGGACAACTACTGTCACTCAGAAAAGAGGGGGCTATAAAGCACTGTAGATATCTCATCAGTCAGCTCCTGGTAATGGAGCAGTGGGGCGGGGCGGGGGGGGGAAAAAAGCCCACAACTCAGGGTAATTCCTATCAAGGTTTAAATTGGGCTCAAGTAATTGAGGCTCCTTCTATTAAACAAAATTAAAAATCCCAGAGTTCAACACAGTAAATTTAAAAAGGACAGAGATAAATTTTCTTGCCCTAGAAACACAGCCCTCAGGCTCCCTAACTATTTGCTACAATATTCCTCAGCTGGCAAAATGGAAAGCTGGCAGCCACCCAAGGTATTCAGACAAAGCATTGTAATTAGAAGCTACTTAGGGCACCATGAACCAAAATATATGCTAATAAAAACATCATTAACTAACTTGTCAAGAGACTCTTCTTAGGGGAGGGAATCTTTGCTAACAGTAACATAATTGTCGTGCATTTAAGTCCTGAAGTCCACGGCAACAATTTAAAGCTGATGAAGAAAACGTGAGATGGGGAAAAAAGTGACATTTGGAAAACAGTGGTGGGGAGGGAAAGTGACTCCGAGAAACAGAATAAAGTGAGCTTATCTGATAGCACACCAACACAAAGCAACCCGGTCTGCAGAGACCGGTACTTAGGCACTGGTACTGAGAAAAGTAGGGGGATTTTGTGAAGTGTGCTGCCAGTTTAAGCTTCTCCCTACCCAAAAAAGGGAAAAGAAAAAAGAAGATAAAAGGATTAAGCAGCTCTCTCCTTTTGTAATCAAGTACAATGTGAATTTTCCACAGCGAGAGCTGCTGGAGAGCCACGTACCCCTCTCCAGGGTCTCCTCTGGGAAGCATGCTGAGCATTCGCTCCCACCAAGGCTATGATAGAAACGCTTTTGATCTCCATTTTCTGGTGCATTATTGTCATTCTGCAGAAGTGATGTTTGCTCGTTATTTCCCACAGAATGGCAATTCTGGTTCTTCTCTACTCTGCCTACAGTTCCGAGTTTCCTGACATAAAAGAAATAAAATATTGTATCTATTATGCATACGAATCAAATGTTATCTGTTCTCCATGACCAACCTCTGACTGGCTGGCCAATATATTAAGGTTTAAGGTTCTTCAAAAAGCTTTTAAACCCAACAATGACCAGCACTTCCAAAGGCGTGCAACGTTACAAGTGGCTATCTGAAAGTTGATTTAATGCCTCGAGGGGGTGCTGAGTGCTGCCAGCTCGCCTCTCTGAGCACCCAGGAAATGGCTCCTTTTCAGAAGCAGCCACATGAATTTCCAGTTTCTCCCAGCTGACTGAAGGCAGACAGGAGGCACACTGGTTCTCTGAGAGCATTGCTTAAATAAGGACTTCCGACGAAGCTATTTAGGAGTGGTTTTTCTACACTCTCCAAGCTGGCAGTTTCCCAGTTTGTTGCCCAGAGAAACTCATGAAAAAGGAGGAGAAAACTTCTGAAAAAGGAGAAACTCATGAACAAGGAGCACAGAAGTGCTGCTGCTGTTGTTTCCGCCTGCCCGCTCTAACCACGGTTAAAATTTGAGCTTAATTTTCATGGTGTAATTAAGGCTTCAGTTAAATCTTACCCAGGGCTGTTCTGCTGCGAAGGCTCCGCATCAGCACGTAGACACAGCAACAGCTGGCACAGCTGGGGAAGCACAGAGCGCCCCGACTCCAGAACAAGCACATGCAAGTCCTATGCTTGGCCTTGCGTTTAGGAGAACGAAGCCAAACGAAGGCAATGTTGAAAGAGCAGGAAGTCCTAAACACTGCTATCAGCAGTACCGACAAGGGGCATTGACGAAACTTCCAGACTTTAGCAGTGGAACATAAAGCCTCAACAGAAATCGCAAAGAACAAGGGAAGGACAACAGCTCTCAAAGCAGAAACACCACTCGGAAGACATTTATTAGTACACTATGAAAAATAGCAATAGGCCCAGAGGTTGGGGTAGGCTGGAAGCTTTGGGTCATCACTGTTGTTCAGAGGATAACGAGAAAGAAATTAAAAGGGGGAGACATTTGTTCTTGAATAGCAAATCAGAAGGAGCAACACAAGACAAAGTAACCAAAATCCCAGGTACAAATTAAAATGAATAAGCTATTGAGAAGCGTCATGCGTTTAGCTGTAAAATGGGGCTGTTCTAGGACAGAGAACGACCTGGAACAGTATGGACCTCACCTTGGGAAACTTGCCTGCCTTGGTAGCTAGCAGTCAACACCCATCAACTTTGTTTACTGTATCACCCCAGTCTCCTAGAGTCCTAGTGAAGGATTGGGAATGTACTATGCAAACACGGAAGAAAAAGATGGTCCCTGGCCGAAAGAGGTTATAATTCATGATTACACATGAAAACCTGTAACATAACTTATCTGTAATAGATTCTGAATGATTTAACAAGATTTGTGGCGGTCACTGCTCATCACTGTTGGACACAAAAAAAAAGAAAAGCAGATGTTTGAAAAATGATGAGCGTAAAAAAAAAAAATTTGAGAGGAAACATAAGGGACTAGATGGGAAGGATGGATTTTGTGTCCAAGAGTCAGAGCTCAGTCACAGATTTCCTCCCTCAAATGAGGCATCATTTAGTTCAGTAAATATGACTTTATTAATACTCACCTACTTTAAAAAAAAGCTTTGAGAGTCTTAAGACTATGTGGGAAAATAGATTAATACTTATATCTAAATGTCAAGAACTGAGTTTTGTGTGCTGAAGAGCTAAAAGGGAAAAAAAAGGCAAGCAGAGCGGGGCAGCGGAGGGAAGAGAGAGAGAGAGAATAAGCAAGGAAACTCAAATCACGGGAAAGAAAACTGAACCTTTGCTACCTCTTGCAATAATTAGTCCGTTATGAGCTCCAGACCATGCAGAAATGGAACAAACAAGATTCAAGGTAGGGAATTATGCTATATTTCAAATACGTTTTTCAAGATCCGTTTTCCCATCATAAATAACATACTGAATTGCTAAGAGTCAACAGATTTCATCGGGGCCACTTTACATCATGCTGTGCATTGTAAATAAAAGGACAAGCATTTCCTGCACTTAACAGCAAAAATCTTCATTGCCCGCAATTCACATACAAGGTATGGAGAATACAGCGGGATACACAGGCGGTAATGTCAGTCCTGATACAAACATCTCATTTTACCCAAACCTAACATGAGCATAGCTACATTTTTCTATGAACAGGAACAGTGCAATTTCACAAGAAAATCTGAAGATATTTTAAAATGTGTGCATGGGTTTTTCCATTTCTTTCAAACTTCTCAAGATAAATGTGGGCATATATTAAGAGAATTTAGAGTTCTACAGCCTATTACTGCATACTACTGCCATTGAGGCTATTAAAAGAAACAAATGACCGACGAACCAGACTTACAAACAGTCAATATGAACTAATGCCCACAAACTCCGTTATGGCTTTTTTGAAAAGCCAAAGGAAAAGCTACTTAATTTGAGCAATTCACTTCACATACTTGAAAAATCAAGACGAAAACCCGAAGTGGTTCAGGTTGCCGGTCCTGATTTCCAAAATAGTAACAGCAAACACAACCCGTGCCCATATTCAATGTCCCAACTCAGGACAACCCTGGAGTCACCACCTAAGCTCAGACCACCTGCCAGCCTACGTGCTGGAAGTCAAGTGCTTGCCAACACCAACAAAAGCTGCCACATCCCATATTCAATGTCCCAACTCAGGACAACTCTGGAGTCACCACATAAGCTCAGACCACCTGCCAGCCCATGTGCTGGAAGTGCTTGCCAACGCCAACAAAAGCTGCCACACGTAAACCTGAAGAAACCAGAGGGCAGCTGGAGACCGCTTGGGCTCTGCCTGGGCTGTCTTGAGGAAAGTGGCTGACAATTCACACAGGGCTTTTTTTTTTTTTTTTTTTTAGGTAAGGGGTATGGTCAGCCTGCCTCTGCATTTTCCACACCTGTGAAATGGGAACCTATATACTTGGTGACTGCTGACCACCTGCTTCGCAGAGCCTTGCAAAGATTCAGTATGTTTATACCTACAAAGTCTTCTGAAGACGAAAGGTTTAGAAAAAGCACGCCAACACATTAAAAGAGACCAGGATAACAAAGACATACTGCAAAGTAATACTCACCCGTTCCTGACCAGCTGTGTCCCAGATCAGAAATTTATGAAGCTCATTCCCACAAGGCACAGTTTTAGTCATGAAGGATGCTCTGAAAAGAAGGAAGCAGCAGAAATTTGTAACATGACCGACACTCTGAATGTACAACCTATAGACCTTAGCCAGTTCTGCTGGGTTAGACTGCATACAGAGAAACTCCAAAATCTTGATAAAATGCCTACAGAAGTGAAAGTCTCCCTTTTCTCAGATAAAATATATGATACCTATATATGCATTTTAAAAGAGGGGAAAAGCCTCTGAGGTTCAGAGGGCATTTGTGCATAGGCCCAGGAACACAAATGCTCCTGCCGTTCACACATAGCTTCTGCTGCTAGCTAGCTCCATCTTCTCGGTGATACAGACCTGAGAAAAAGGCATCAGCCAGCATCGCACCAGGTAACAAATGTGCAACTTTTCAGTTAAACGTAAAAGACTGCATCACCAGGGAACAGAAAAGTCACCTGCTGGAATGCACAAATGGAAACAAGTTCCTCCCCCTTTCAACTCAGATGAAGGAATCTTCTTGTATTTATATCTTGTGGCTTCTTGTATTTTTTGTAGGAAATGCAATTTGTCTACATTTTCACAGCGTGATTTTTCTTCTTTTAGGAAAGAGGGTTACAAATTTATAGGCTTTTTCTAAATTACAGCATTTCAATTGAAAGCTGGCTAGGAGAGACTGCCAAACTCTGGAAGATTTCTTTTTTTCCCCATCCTATCTGGACACTGCTGAACAATTTCTGTTGTGGTAACTTTTTTCCTGGCTCATAAAGATGCATTTGATACAATGCGCTGTCATTACAAAAGCACCGAATGACATCAAATGACATATGACTGATCAAAACATTTCCTGAGAATGATATACCAGAGATCTCCTCTACAGCCATCTGCGAACTGCTTGAATTTGATAATGCTGCATTGCTTATAAAAATATTAAGTAAGGCAAAAAAAAGCAGCATTTTCTATGGTTATTTTCAGGGTGTGTGCTTTCAGTTGTCACTTTCCTTCTCAAAGCATTAAGCAACACTTTAGAGCTTCAAAAACAGGAACCTTAGAGCCGCAGCAGCTACTGTAGATTGCAAGAATTGTATATTGAAAACACCTGATTAATTTGGAAGAAAATAAAAAAAAAACCCTTATCTATACAGACAAGTAGTAACACCTGCGTGCAAGCTAGCCTTCACATTTTAACCCTCAAATAGAAAAATATTTTCCTTCTGTTATCATAATTATGAAAATTAAAGGGATTTTTTTTTCCATTTGAGCAGAAGACATTTACTTAGCAACAACAACTACTTGGAGAAAAAAGCTGCTGATGATTTAGAAGTAAAGAACCACTCAAGTTCCCATCAATCCCTTCACTGCAAACAAGTGTCCTTCAGTCAGTAATGTTATTCATTACATGCTTCCTTTCTCTCTGTCCATTTTTCTCTACTCATTACATTCAGGATGTCCTGGCATTTCAACTTGCAACTTCCAGCTCAGACTCCTCCATACATCGAAAGGCGGAGCTTTGGAAGATACCGTCTAACCCTCTGAACAACACACAACAATCCATACCAATCCTTCACAGATGATGTAAAACAGCTCTAACACACAAGCCAGATCAGCCCTTCCCACCCAAATTCCTCCTTTGTGAACATTACATATTAGCTTCCTTTCCCATACGAGATCAAGAATTTTCAAAATTTTCCAGATAACATTGGACTTGGCAGATTTGTCCCTAAGATGTTAAAAGAAAAAATTTAGAATCAAAATCAAATAAAGGACTAATAGGCTTCTGAAGCTTGGCAGTTTTTAAAGAAGAACAGGTGTGAATTAATTATACTTAGTTTAAACTGCATTGTCCCTATTTTGAGAAAGACAGGATAACGTAACATGTCCTAAACCTAGATGAAAGGATGTCTACATCTGGGAACAGACATTGTCCATGTTCCAGCCCAGCCTGGCAGGACACACAACGTAGGTACTTAAAGGGCTCCCCACGGTTCTCCTGCCATTACTCAGCCATGGGGTGTCCTGGTCATTGTGCAGATCATAGCTTCTTTGCTATGTTTTGGTTCTTCAAGCTCCAAGGATCAGATTTGATACCTCATTTACCAGTGGGAACTAAAGTGATTTTAACCCTAAGTCCTATGGCCAAAACACAATGCAAAGTGGAAAGCTCGTGACAAGACAAAAAGAAAAGGACACCAGCTGAGTAAGACATCTAAGAATCTCTTGGTGTAAGATGGGTGAAGAACAACAAAACAGAACAGCTGGAAGTCATGGCTATGCCCAACACAAGTCAATACAGCGTGGTTCTGGATAGCTCCAGGGAAGAGGCGATTTCAAGAGACACCGTTCACAGGAGGAGAATGGCAGAGCTCTGCCAGCCTCTCCATAACAGATTATGCTGCAATATAGTTAAATTGAGGCCCCCTCTGTATTCCCAGAACAGGGAGAGCAGAGCAGACCTGGTTTGGGGCAGCCCCAGACTCTCTAAACATGTAGCATGAGCTGAAAGCCATTAAAGGAGACTAAGGGGTTCAGTGAGATTGATAAACAGGAGAAAAAAATTATATACAGTATTCAGAGCCTTGAAAGTAAGGAAAAGAAAGGAGCACAGCAGAGGGCAGTGAGTTAAAAAATATATAGAAGAAAAAAGTTATTATGCGTGGTACTTACCCAATAGTGGGACTAATATTGTGATCAAAGTGGTCCTGGACAAATCGACAAACGATGCTAGATTTCCCAACCCCAGTATCCTGAAAATAAAGGAGAGCATGACAGTGAGTTCAGGTGACCCTAGATATCAATACTTCATCTGAAGAAATCGTCAAATATTAATTTGTGAAATTAAATCCTCTCTAGTGGCAAGTGAGGCAGGTTAAACATGTCAAAAGAAAAGCGAGCACATGGATTATCCTTTTCAAATGTCAGCATTGTGAAGGGAACTCCCTGGTCCCCTTCTGAACTCTTCCTTCTCTCCAAGCCTTGTATTTTTTTGGGTGGATTTCATATTCCTGTTTCAAGGACTGCAGTACTTCAAGCATAACTACTTACTTGTACAAGAAAATCCTGCGCTTTCAAACACATGGCGCATTACCCAGCAAAACCAGAGAAACAATTTCATCGAGACCTGTTGCAAGGGCAGCCCAAGCATGCTTCCAAAAGAGATTACTGACACCACTGACAGCACTAACAGTAGAACGAACCTTTCCATGGCAAGACAAACAAGCCTGCTTGGTGGAAACTTTGCAGAGGTTTCAGGTGGTTTTGAAAAGGCAGGAATCCAAAGAGTTGGATCCCCAGAGATGTGCAACTATCCCTGTGCAGGTTGTATTACTGGACTGCGGTGAAACGGCATTACTTGAAATGCAACACAACTTCCTCTCTACACTGCAATGTGGCAGGCTGCTTCCATTTGCAGGAACAGTCTTTTTTTTGCCCTACCCCACCCCTTTCCCAAATCAGTAAGGAAAAATAACAGCAGTACAGTATTAGAATAAAATTCAAAATAAACTCTGGGGCTGTGGGAGGAGAAAAGCTTGACATTACTCAGAAATACTATTTTAGGCATTTAAGGTATGAACAACTTCCCCAAAAGACGTGCATTTTTCAGTTTGTGTCTGCTATTCCATGAAGCCTTGGATCGTAGGTAGAAGAACATAAATTATACAGAGGATTATCAAGGAAGAGGAATAGCAATACCACCATGTCTCCGACAGAATTGCAAAGAGTCTCTTTAGAGACAAAAAGGATGCCAGGAAATCGATCCTGACCTTTCCGAGACATTAACAATGACAGCCCAGGGTCCAATCTAACTCATTAAAAAGTCAATGGGAAGTTTTCTATTAATTTCATTGGAAGCGATTGCAGAACTCCCAGATTGCACCTGGTAGTTTCTTTTGTATCCACATTTTAAGACACTTGACTAATTTACGTAAACTTCTCAAAATGTGCCAAGACAAGAGAATACAGTTTGTTGAGAGCACGACACTCATAACTACATATTAAAAAAAAAAAAGAAGCCTTTGCCTTTCCTGCAATATTTTATCTTCTTTTTGAATATGAAAGAAACAGAATGGTTGTAGTTAATATTTCCTTTCACCATGTTTAAAGGAAACTGTACCGCCACTGCAAACAAAGTTTTTATAAACAGCACTTATTAGAAAACCATCATTTAAACTCTCATATTTAATTCAAAGCTGTCCTTAGTCAGCTTAAAAGCCATAGTAAATGCTCATGCTGCACAGATGGTTGTTTATCTACTGTGTTCAATCAATAGGAAAAAAACATCAAGGAGAGAAGCTGTGTTTAAAACCAGCCCCGTAGCCTTTGATCAATAGCAGCAACACATCCTGTTGCTATTCCCAAATTTCGCCTTCATTATCGATTCCAGCTGACATCTCTGTGTAATTACTAGACCAGGATGGCAGAACACAAAAAAAAAAAAAAAAAAAAAAGGTCCTCTGTGCTGAGGATCTAATTATTATTCCAGATTTTAAACGTCGCGGAGAAACCAGAACTACCACCCGCTGGGTGCGAGGAATTACATTTCCCTCTTGCGGGGACAGAGTTTCTGCCACTGTGTTTGAAACTAGACATTGACTCCCGTGACCCAATGATGCTTTAGTTTCGTGTACTTCCTTCAGCTCCCTTGACAGCTCACTCGGAAGGGCAACTGCAATTACAGCTCCTGAGCAAGAGGAGCCCGGTCTCTGGCAGGGACGCGACATCCACAAGAACGGATTAAAGCTTAGCTCATTTTCCTGGAAGCTCCTACCTCTTCATCTTGCGGTTCATGGATCTTAAGTTTCATGCTAATGTTCAATGAACTTTAAAAGTTTCTATTGCCCTTGCATCTCTCGCAACAAGCACGGCTAAACTTAAGCCCGTGCCAGGCACGGTGATAGCCCTCAAATAGCTTAAAAGCATTCTTACACTTCGCTCCCGGGGTTGCTTGGACTACTGAGAGGGCTAAATTTACCCCTGTGTAACTCCAGTGAAACCAATGGACTTGGAGCACAAATGAACCTGTCTTCAGGACGACACTGCTGCAGCCAGCGGCCGGTGCTTTCCAGGAGCCAGGCAATTTATTGCACCAAGGGGTTCAGTTGAAACAAGCACTCCCAGCTTCTGTTTTGTTGCCTGGAGGACACAAACGGCTGGCTACCCGCGTATAATTAGAGCACAGAGGGGAAGGAAGTAAAAAAGAAAAAGCTTCCTACTTATGGCAGAGATTATCATTCCATCGCGGGATTTAAAACGACTTAGTTTTCAGTCCACGTTACCGTACTCGCACCCATCCAAGAAGACACAACCCTGCCTGAAAGCAAAGCAAATCATGGTGTACAAACATTATACAACAACTTGAAAACTTAGTAGAAATCTTTTACTACTAATCAGACCTTATCCTTTACTGACAATAGGGAACTGTCTGTCAGGTCGATCTGGCAGAAGTCAAGGAAAGCATGGTTGCTTCAAAGAAGTAGAAAAGGCATTCACCTCTCAGCAATGCACTGAAATTAAACCTCCTTGCTAAGGCTGTACAAAGCTTTCCTTCTACCATCTGCTTTGTCCTTTTCTGTATGGTCTTCCTCTACATACATCCATTTTTCTAACATCTGATGGGGATGATCATCCTTGTTTTGTTCCTTTTTCTTCAAAGGATTATAACAGACTTGTCAAGCCACATGCCTGGGTAACATTCAGGCATGCAGATGACTTATTTTTTCAGTTCTCAAAGTTCTGCTTTTTGCCAGCTTTTTACACCCTCTGATCTGTTTTTCTTTTTTGTTTTACTCCATGTTGGTGTACATACAACATCAAATATACACCAAGGAGTAACATTTTGGCTTATGTAAAAGGTCACAGCAGTATTGAGCTGAGTGGATTGGACAAGTTTCAGACACCGAGAACATGTCCTCAGGAGTTATGTCGCACTTTAAGGAACAGGTCCTGCAATTCTTCACAAAAATCCTTATCCATAGGAAATCCAAGGGCTTCAGCACCATACTAATTGACTCATCATGATCAAGAGCATACGACTCCATGAAAGGAGTGGCAAGAAAGGAATAAATATAAAATAATTATTCTGAATCAAGGTGTTCCTGATGCATTTGATGAGTCATGGGACCAACTGCATGTTTTGCTTTTCTCCTTTCTTCTTCACAAGCCTCATAGCACACTTACAAAATATCAGTTATGAACTGCATTGTACCGAGATAAGCAAAGGGGGTGAGTGGAGGGTGAGGAGGAAGGAAAGGAGTAGAAATGTAATCGACAGTAAGGGAACTGCTATTAGTTCAGCAGAAGAAATATCTACAGCTTCAGAGTCTCCCACTGGTCATGCAAACCAGACATGGAAATCTGAAGCGATACCAGATATTTCTGATAAATACAAGGAACCAATGCAAGCATGACCAATTCCTGATTGTTACCCTTTAACCCTGAAAAGACATTCTCTATTCCTCTAAAATCCTTTACCCGCAGATTTAGGCACGAGGATTTTAAGAGCACCATAATGGAGAGCAGCATGCCACAAAAAACAGTGCTTCCACCCACACTCCTGCTCGCAGAGAACCACCCCGCTTGGCTCTTCTCAGCTCTCTTTACTGTAAAGGAGATGAGACTGTATTTCAAGCCAGCAGAATTACAGGATGCTGGCAACTAATTTGCAGGCAAACAACCGAGCTGCTGATTTCTTCTGGCTGATTTGCAGCAGCATGGAGGAAAATTAAAAAAAAAAAAAAAGCAAGCAGAAGTTCAATATGAGCAATATATTAAAAAGGAAAACCATTTTCCCATTACAAATAGGCAGCACATCCACTGTTCCAGATGTGTGCATCCTGGCAGAAAAAACTGATGCAGAAAAATTTAGCTCTTTAATTTAAATCTGGATGTCTCATTTATACCTTTGCACAACCATAGGGCTCAGTCCTCCAAGCATTTTTCCAAACAGAATGGTCCTATACTACCCTGTAAACACATCCCTGATTAGGACATTAGTCTTTAGTCTTGTTATTATAATAGCTTTTAATAGATTCAGAGGGGTCAAGTCCTATTGTGCTGAGCAAACTAAACTCTTCTGTAAATTCTTTTTACATCTGAAATGGAATAAATTTTGAATTCACAAAAAAATCCACACATATCGTGACTGATGACTAAACAGCAGCCCTATAATTATGCACACTGTTGCAACAGCTATTTTATTCTTGACTACGCAGAATCTTTCTGCGCTATGTTAACACAGAGCGCTTTTTAAATATATGTAAAATTAGATAAACCATGCAAAAACCCTTTTATGACTCTAGGAATTTGGAAACACAAATAAAACAAGAATACTAGATGGCATGTCACAGGAGGAAATGGCATACTAAGAATGAACATACTGAAGAAACTGCCTTCTGTCCTCCCACTTGCAAAGTAAGAAAAAAAGAACATCTGGCTTGCAACCACCACAGATCTCATGACTAACTTCCCATTTCAGCTTTAAAAGAAGGTTGAGATACCCTGGAGACGGGTGCCACAAAAATCTGCACTGAGGAATAAAGGAGAACTGATCTTTATAAAACAGGGATGCCATACACGGCTCCTTCAGAAGGATGGAAGTTTTCCCATCAGCTTAGACAAAGCCAAAATTCAATCCACGGTGTTTCAACTTGTACACATTTTTACAAATTAAAAACGCCTGTCCCTCCAAAGCATTTCTTGTAATAACCAAGATTCATTGAGACATGATCTACAGGCAGAGGTCTCATTAAAACTGACTGGGTTTAACATGCATTTTGTCTTACATATCGGAAGAAGAATGATCATTCCCTAACAACCTGTATTACTACCAAGTGCTCCAGAAAAACAGGTAAAGCCAATAATATTTCAACAGTAATATGAGAAACACTTGGAAGTGACAACCCTGTATCCTTTCCCATAAGCAAGAAACCAACCCCATGGCTCACGTGGCTTCCACCGAACTCGGCAGGACTCCCCTGCACCTCACAGCGGGAATGCATCTGCCCCTCAGAGCCACTTTGTGCTAGGGCTCCCAAAAGCTTACCTGCTAACCACCCTAACTGCGAAGGCACCACGAGCCT